GATCCTAAGGCTGTTATTGAAAACAGAACTACCATGGCAAGAAATGGCCCTATACCAAATAAGAAACCTGCTTCCTTTCAAAGCACATGATAGCATAGAGGGCCATTCTTGGATCATGAACAGATACTGGACACCCAGAAGAGAAGGAGGCAGACCAAGGCAAAGGAACCAACTACCGAACTCGGATCCCCCAAGTAGCCACTGGGCAAAACTGATAGCAGCATGGAGGGAGGCTTTCCCACAAAGGAGGAGAAGTCCGAGAACAAAAGAAGAGATTTTGAGACAACCGCTGTTTGGAAATGACCTCTTAAAAGATCCAAATGGTAAGGCATGGTCCCTCAAGGCGAGGGGAAAGAGATGGAGGACTTGGGTAGAGAGAGGCATATGGAAGATTGAGCACATATGGGATGAAAGTAACAGCAAGTGGAAATCAGAAGGAGACCTTAGAACTAAGCTGAGAGGACACCACAACTTAAAGCAAAACCTAGAGGAATTGATAGATAGTATCCCAATAGCCTGGAGGTCAACGCTAAAAAGAAGCACAGTTTGGAAGAAGGGTGACTGGTCAACATTGAAGTCACAAGAATCACCCTCAGTAGCCCTTCGTTTTATAAGATACGAGGGAACAGATAGGAACATAGCCAAATTCGAAGTACATGAGTTGGAAAACACAAATAAAGCAATAGTGGAGGTCAGAAAAGACGCCCTAATCAACCTAGACTTTACCTTACAAGACTTGAGGAAGGTCAGAGAACTTAAAAACGAACAAAAGGGACCAAGGAAGGGAAGAAAGAAGTCAGAACCCCCCATCTATTTGTTTAGACCAGATAAAGACATATCAGAATTAGAAGTCGACCCCAACGAGTGGGGCTGGTATCAGAACAGGGGGAGAGGAAGGGCCAAAAAGTGGATCCCGCTGCACGAATACACAGTAAAAAGGGGATACAAGATAAGACACAAGCTAGAAAACCCACAACCGACCATAGCCGCAAGGTGGGAAAAAAACCTCCAAATTGACCCTGCCTTCTGGCAAACAATCCCATGGTCCTACTATGCATCGAGCAGACCTCAAAAAGTGAGAAGCTTGCAATGGTTGATAATTTACATGGCAGTCCCCACCAACGAATGGCTAGAAGCAAGGAGGAGAAAGGAAGACAGAACAGAATACTCAGCACACTGCCAAATGTGCCAAGAACAGGTAGCGGAAACACTAACCCACTGCCTACTGGAATGCCAACATGCCAAAGTACTCTGGCTCAAATGCAAAAAAGCTTGGTCCAATCAATCTAATAACGATTTCCCGACAGACCAATTCCTCCTACTAACAGCAATAGACAGAGAAAGCTTAATCCCTGAGGAGGATAAAGAAATCATCGAATTACTGCGAAGAACAACCCTGTGGGTAATATGGAGAGCCAGATGTGGAAACRCAATAGGAAGAAAGAAGATAACGGCAAATGAATCATGGGAAGAGGCAAGGGAACTGGTAGAAACAGGGGTGAGAGTGGAATGGAGGCGAACCCTTGAGAGAATGGACAAAGAAATAGAGGACCAGAAGAGGACCAAAATACAGAAAGAATTCGAACACCAGTGGCTGAAGGAAGGACAATTGGCAAAGATAAGCGGAAAAACCCTCCAATTCACGAGCTGGTGGGATCCGGACAGCCCAACAAAAAACCAGAACAGCACAAACACAATGGACATAGACTGATAAGAAAGCAAAACCAAGGACAGCACCTCCAAACAGAGGACCAGAACAGATAGAAAACCAAACAATGCAGAAGGCAATAGTCCAAAAAGGAAACAGCAGCAACACCAACCCACCACGAAAAAAAAAGAGAACACACAACACAAAGGAAGAGAAAGGGAGGCTAAGGGACTCAAGGCTCAAGCATATTAACAGCACCCAGCAGACACCTCACTATACCCCCCAAACCAACCGCTCACACGCTTACTAACCACAATAGGTCAAGACCCTAACAGATAACCCTGTGCCCCTACAAGCSACAGAAAATCCCAACCCCAACCAAACTCGTCCCACCCAATAGGGATACAGCCCCACCCTTACCTCCTTACCCTCCCCCTCCCGCCCCAAGCCCACCACCCCAAACACACCGACCCAGAACCCMAAACCTCAACCACTGCACAAACTACCCCAGKCACTACCCCCCCCACYCAAACTACCCCGCCAAAAAACCTTAGACATGCTCAATAGAGTCAATTCAAAAAACGGACAAAGACAGACCATAAAAACACACTACAGCCAGCAAGAGTTCAGGGTAGTAGTTAGAGAGTTTAGGTTTCGRGCTAGACAAAAACATAATCACATAAGGACTAAGATATCAGGGAATTCAAGAGGTTCATAGGCCCTTCAGATCGCTCTAGCATGACACAACAATCCGACAGCACCACAGCTGAGAGGAGCGGGACTGGGTTCAGGCAAGAGGACTTCAGCCAGGCAGAGCAAATAGCATAGGCTAAACTAGGCAGGGGTGAGGGGTGGTACATCCTTCCTCAGAGAAGTAATCAATGCCGTCCACTCGGACCTCCCAACCATAATGGGGAGGAGCGTGCGTAAGTCATCCATGTTTTCCATATTGACTTGCCAGGGGAATAGGAACCGGACTGTTGCTCCCCAGAATGGTAGGAGCCAGAACCTAAAGGTTCTGTTTTTCTATAAAAAAAAACAAACAAAAAAAACAATATGTAGTGGATTTTGAAATGTGTTCTTCCACAAGCAAGGAATCGTTGACTTACGTCCTTCGTGATTCCTATGTTGCTGACGTATCTCACCCGTATCAATGTCCCCGTTTTATACTTGCGTTGAACCCACTTACAATTATGCCGATGATATTGTCGACGAGACCCACATATTATCAAATGGGGGTCCGGAATCTGCAACCTTCCTCACCCAGTTAGATGTCTTCGTCTTATACTTGAATCCTATCTAAGCTCAATCCTGCCCGCTTGTCAATGTTCCTTTACCACTTCCTACTCTCTCTCTCTCTCTCTCTCTCTCTCTCTCTCTCTCTCTCTCTCTCTCTCTCTCTCTCTCTCTCTCTCTCTCTCTCTCTCTCTCTCT